AAACAATAAGAGCCACCTCTACTGAGCCTCGTCTGTGTGGGTCATTCTTACTTACTAAGTGCTTTACTTACATTAATTAATTTACTTCTCTCAACACCTCCATGTGATTAGTTGTATTTTCAACCCCATATTAAAGTGGAGAGAAATGGAGTCAAAAGGATGTGGGAAGAATCATTATGTTCTTAAAAATTGGATATAGGAAGTACATGAAATTTGTTCCCTTTATATAAATTTTAAAAATTAAATAACTTCTTCAAAGTAATATATGTTGAATGTGGGGTAGACAGGATACAAAGCCAAAGGATGTCACTCCTCCAAACATACTCTTTTATTTTTTGGGGGCAGGCAGAGTGGACAGTGAGAGAGAGAGACAGAGAGAAAGGTCTTCCTTTACCGTTGGCTCACTCTCCAATGGCCGCCGCGGCCGGCATGCTGTGGCCGGTGCACTGCGCTGATCCGATGGCAGGAGCCAGGTACTTATCCTGGTCTCCCATGGGGTGCAGGGCCCAAGCACTTGGGCCATCCTCCACTGCACTTCCTGGCCACAGCAGAGAGCTGGCCTGGAAGAGGGGCAAGCGGGACAGAATCAGGCGCCCCGACCGGGACTAGAACCCAGTGTGCCGGCGCCGCTAGGCGGAGGATTAGCCTAGTGAGCCGCAGCACCGGCCATCAAACATATTCTTAAAACACAGAAATGGATAACTCAGTTCCATAAAAGGAATTACTTGACCTTCTTGATTTCTTTCCTTCATTGTTTTATTAAAATATTTATTGAAGTGTCCCATGTGCAGGTACTCTGCTAAGGATAAACTGGGAGGTAGGACAGAGTTTTCCTCTCTGCATCTTCTGGGATAGGGAGGTCATGTGACAGATGTGGACATGGAGAGCACAGGGAGCCAAGAGATTCACATGACTTATTCTTAGCAGTGCAGGAAGGACTTCTTGGAGAAAACTGATTGGACACGTGCAGTGTTCATTACTCAAGGGAGGTCAAATACAGCTGGAGCTGGATCACTGACCACCAATTGTGCACCGGGGGAAATGAGGCTGGGAAGGCCACGAAGTGAAGTACAGGAAAGGATCTGATGTGAATCAGTAAGTATAGGGGCTGTAGTTCACAGAGCCAGGGTGGGCACAGGGATGTGAAAGGGGATCAACCCTGGCACCTGAACACTCACTCACACATATACCTGCACACACATACACGTGTACACACAAGCTTGCACATATGTTACATTATGCTCCCTGAAAATGAGTCATGTGGCTGCATCTTCACCCACATCTGCTGGTGTCTGGAAACACTCTGCTGGATTTCATCCCTCAAGTTAGATGTAGATCAGAAATCTGACAATACTTTTGAGCTGATCTAAATGTAGATCAGCTCCTTTTACTTTCCATACTGGACCCATCAGTTCACTCATTTATATAACAAACAATAGTTCCATTATAGTCACCTCTTAATATCTATAGTGGATGGGCTGTAGGTCTCCCAAAAAATTAAATTTGCAGATTTTAAGTCTCCAATATAAAATAGCACAGTGTTTGTGTATAACATATGCATGTCCTCCCATACTGTTTAAATCATGCCTAGATTACTTATAACACCTAATACTGTGCAGATGCTATGTGAACAACAATTACATGGTATTGTTTAGGAAATAATGACAGCAAAAATGTCTTTCCACATTTAGTATAGATGCACTTTTTCCAAATGTTTCAACCTATACTTGGTTGAAGCCAAGGAAGCAGAACCAGTGGTTACAGAGCAATGACTGTTTTCTCAAATTTCATAATGTTGAAGTTTGTAGTTGTTCTTGTGACTTGTCTTTTGTTCATTGTCTTCTGTAGTGTAGCCACTCAGAGGCTGGTCTTTTGAATCTGACCATAGATTCAAATCTTGTGTCTTCTATTAAAACCTGTAGGACATAGAACAAGGTAATGTAATTTCCTTGACTTAATTTCCTAATGTTAACAACGAAGATAGTAATGTCAATGACAGGTTATTGTTGAGTTTCAAATAAATAACTCATGTGAAGTCTAAGCGCAGGGCTTAAATGTATGTGTATACATATGTATACATGAAACTGCAGACGATAAAGGAACTCCCTCCTTTCGCTTAACAGGAAACTGTCCTTCGGTACCTAATACACTTATAGTCCATAGTATCATTTGCCTGTCTGTTACATAGTAACCTGCTATCCCATAATAGTTGTCTTTATAAAATCTACTGATCTGTTTTTTTTAGGGTCCTTAATAAAACCAAATAAAATTGGCCAGTAGCAAAAATTGTAACTGGAGCCTGTGCTGATCAACTATGATTGGCTGGCAAATTACTTTGTGGTTCATTATCTTGTGAAATGACACACCCCAGTCACATCTCAACAGCCGTCTTTGAACACATGACATGTATACAAATGTGATCTACTAATGTGCATGCTCAGGGAAAGTCCCACACCCCTTTCCTCTTACTTACAATGTTCGGTCACTGAGTTGTGTGCCTCGTTTCCTTTAACATCATAAATTCCTAAACCGCTTTCTGAACAGGGAGATGGATTTGGGTTTTGTTGTTATTTCTCAAGTCCCCTTACAAGTCTGTAATAATACATTTCCACTTCTCAGAAGATGCACTGTCTTCGTAGTGAGAGTATAAGTGTGTGGGCTTGGGTGTTCAACAATACTCACACATACAGAAATAGATATGTCTGCATAGATGTATTGATACAAAATAGTTATGCATTGGCACAAAGCCAGAGCAACTACCCAATTAACATATTGTTTAAATTCAGATACTGTTTGCCAAAGAGGTAGTCAGCAATCAAGGATGCTCTGCTGCTTTGATGGTAATGAGGCATAAATACCAAGGTGATTAAAAAAAAAAAATCTCAGGAACAAAGCACCTTCACTGCCACATTAAGAAAGAGCTGTGTCATTCCTGCAGTGCGTGAGTAGCTTCTGTCCTCAGGTACTTCTCTTACGTACCTGTGACGTCATACACTCTGTTGTGTGCTTGAGAGGTTTATATATGCAATATTGTGCCGTCTCTTGGTGCTTTGTGGTCAGTAAATTCTAAAGTTCCATCTTTCTTAAAAGTAAACAAGAAACCATGAGAGTTGACCTGGAATCTTTTCTCCACTTTTTTTTCCATTTGTATGTGAATTGGGAAGGGGGGGGGAGAAAGGGGGAGAAGAGAGAAAGAGAGAGAGAGAGAGACCCACCTGCTGGTTCTTTCCCCCCAAATACCTACAACTAGGAGTGGGCTGGGCTGGGACTGCAGCTCAGAACTCAATCTAGGTCCCCCACATGAGTGGTAAGATCCAGTTACTTAAGTCGTCATCTGCTGCCACCCAGGTTCTTTATTGGCAGGTGGCTGGCATTAGTAACAGCTTGAGTCCTGGAGACAGGAAGGAAACCCAGGCACTCCAAGGTGAGATGTGGCCATCTTAACTGACAAACTATATGCTCACTTGTCGTACTGTTTTCTTGATTGTCCAAAATCTCCCACCTGTCCTAGGCTTGCTTTGTTACAGTAACTCATGCTTAGAAATGACCTTTCTTTGTTAGACATATTTCCAGAATTTTTTTTATCCAGTTGTGGCAATACATAATGTGACCTTACAAGAAGCTTTGGTTTTTCTTCAATGAACTGTGATTGTAAATTAAAAACATGGACTAAACAAAAGGTAGAAGTGTCAATCAGAAAGAAAATAAATTATAACCATGACCAATATTCTAGGCACATCACTGTCACATGTGATAAGGCAAAGACTTCAGTTGTCTTTACTTCCTGTTCCTTAAGAAATAGCTTGATAATAGCCCAACACAAAAAACTATAGGGTAATACTTCTTTACCTACCAGCATATCCTGCCCACTGCAGAATAAGACACTGTCTTCCTAGTTCTATTTTTCCCACCAATATTAAGACCATTTTCAGCTTTGTGTTTAGTAGTTTTACTGTGAGGAAAGAAGATTCATATGCTTCTCTTTGAAAATTCTTTCCTGGCTCTTTTTAAAGGTTTTATATTTATTTACAGAAAGATTTTCCCATCACTCATTTTTTTTTTCTTTTGTGGTTAGAAACATGTAACATAAAATTTGCTATCTTACTCTTTTTTTTTTTTTTTTTTTGGATAGGCAGAGTGGACAGTGAGAGAGAGACAGAGAGAAAGGTCTTCCTTTGCCGTTGGTTCACCTTCCAATGGCCGCCGCCGGCGCACTGCGGCCAGCGCACTGCGTTGATCCGATGGCAGGAGCCAGGTGCTTCTCCTGGTCTCCCATGGGGTGCAGGGCCCAAGCACTTGGGCCATCCTCCACTGCACTCCCTGGCCACAGCAGAGAGCTGGACTGGAAGAGGGGCAACTGGGACAGAATCCGGCGCCCGGACCGGGACCAGAACCCGGTGTGCCGGCACCGCTAGGCGCAGGATTAGCCTAATGAGCCACGGCGCCGGCCATTTTTTTTTTTTTTTCTGTCTTACTCTTTTGGAGTGTAGTAATAGCTATAAGCACTTGTGCTATAGAGGTCATTAAAAACATATCCCTAGTTGGCAGCAGATATGAATGAGACAGTTTCTGAGGATCTCAGCCCCATCTTCTGTCCCTTTTCGCATTGTGTCAAGTCCTCAGGTGTATTAAATTTAACAACATGCAATCAGCACCCTGACTAAGATTCAGCCTCAACTTCCCTGTGGCTCTTCTGAAACGTGTTTCCTACCTGCCATTGTGAAAACAGATTCAGAGACATGCAAACCAATTTTCTGTGATAGGGCGCTCAGCAATGTTGAGCTGGCCTACCAGCAGGTCTCTCACTGGCTCTGGCTCTCTCCTCTCTCTCTCTCTCATTTTTGCGCACTCTCTCTCTCTCTTTCCGGGTCTGTCTGTCTATCTCATTTGTGAGATCTCTCTCTCATCTCTCTCTCTTTGGTCCTTAGAGAAATCATCTAGACCAAAAGTATGACGGCTTATCTCATGTGATTCTATTATGGATGTTTTCTCCCCCACAGACTGCAGGAGTAGAGGACACCTGAGGACATCCACTCCAGAATCTCGAAAGAGACGCTCTACTCAATACAGCTATCCTGGTAAAAAACATATGGACTTAAGTGATATAATGATCAGGTATGTATAGAAATATCTCATTTCTTCAGATCTACAAAAATATGATATAATTATATTATATGATATAATATTATATGATAATATGATTTATACCTTAGCCTGCTTCTTTTGACAATAGCGAAATACCCGAGTCTAGGTATTTTATAAAGAGAAGAGTTCACAGCTGTGGAGGCTCAGGAACATGGCACTGGTGTTTTTATGGCTCTGGTGAGGGCCTCTGTCTGCATTGTGACATGGTAAATGGCAACATGGTTAGAAATCACGTGATGAGTCAGGGAGCAAGAAGGATTCAGGAGTCAGGCTCCCTCTTTTTATAGTAACCTGCTCTCCTGAGACATAACCAGGATTCCACAAGAACTACATTCATGGTGGTCTCCCACAGGATGGCATCTCTATGGATCCCACAACCTCTTAGCACCACCACACTGGGGACCAAGTTTCCAGCTCATGAGCCTTTGTGGATATACTGACAACACATTCAAACCCAAGCAATGTATTTACTGACAACACATTCAAACCTAAGCAATGTATTTACACATAGGATCAGTATGAAAAGGAGAAAACACAATTTCTGTAGTATATTTGGGTTCCATTTTACTCTGGAATAGCATTATAGAATATGCTCAGCAATGGATTTTACTCAATAAAATGAAGAAAACTGAGTACCATAGATGACATTTTTGATTCCTTCAATCACATTATGGGTAGAGATGTTTTTCAAGTTCTTTTTGATAATATGAAACAGGGCTTTCTTGTAAGGAAAGTAATGATATTTATCAAGTTCAGTTTATTTTTATTCATGAATAATGTTTTACAACAAGGCCTACTTTGAGACCAACATGGAATATTTTTAAACTCTTAGAAAATTAAGAAATGCCAGTATTATTCCTTTGAAGTTTCTTAGGGCTCCTTTTTATAAAAGGAAACACTAATTTGGTATATATTTACTTCTTGTGTTTTAAATTTTTATTTATGAGGTAGAGAGATAGAGACAAAGGCAAAGACAGAGAGGTTTCCCATCTGCTGGTTCATTCCACAAATTTCCACAATTTCTGGGGCTTTGTCAAGGATGGAGCCAGGAGCTGAGAATGCAATCCAGGTCTCCCATATGGACGGCAGGAACCCTATTACTTGAGCCATCACCAGTGCCTCCCTGGGTCTACATTGGCAGGAAGCCGGAGGCGAGAGTCTGGGAGAGCCAGACTTGGGAGTCAGACCTAGGCACTCTGATGTGGGCCATGGGCTTCTGAATACTTGATTAAATGCCTGCTCTTATAATTTACAGATTTTTGATTCATCATTCACCTGAGAGCCTCTGAAAACAGAACGTAATACCTTATACATTGATATGTCCAGCACTTCATTTTATTGAGCAAGCATACAATACATACCATATAATTAAATTGTCAAAATGAACTTTGCAACTTATAACTTGTATATATGTAAAGCATCTAATACTTACATAGTATCTAGCATTTTATAGGCAATCCATAAAACACAAAATGATAGCAAATGCTATGATAATGATCAGCACGTGCTAAACATGCTTTTAAACATTGCTTAAATATTACTCATTCAACAAAAGCATTTGTGTAAGTACTGCTGTGACATCCAATCTGAGTGGTACAGAACAAGGTCTGATTAATTTTAACCGGAGACCACTGACAGGCTATATGAGAGGTCATCAAAATGTTCATGGAAAATTCATATTATGAAAAAAATAGTGATTTCAAAAATTTTTGCAGCAAAATTAATTTATATTTTAATTCCACTTCCATGAACTTTTTCAATTACTCTTATCAACAGGAGATTAGGACAAGATTTGGCCAAGTTTAAGGAGGTTGCAGTTTGAAAGAATAACATGAGCAAAGTCACAGAGGAAAGGAAAATTTGGAGAATATCAGACTGGTGTGATTAAATGAATTGGTGGGATCAATAATTAGAGATGACGAAAATTCTGGAAGTATGTTCCGGTGAAAGAACGATGAGGCAAGGGCAAGAGTCTTATGTTCCAGGACAAGAAAATCTATTCTGTGTGGTCCTGAAGCTCCTCCCACTAGTTAGAATGTTGACCAGAAGTAGGAACCTCAGTAAGAATCATTTTTAAATAACACAAGCAATGGAAAGTATTCACTTGGCCTTTTAATTCGAAATTTAATTTGTTTGTTTTTTTAATGGACTTTCAGGTGAAGTGCTTCATTTCAGCTTGCCATCAGAAATGGGAGTTGGGCCCACTCATTGGAGGGCAGTTTTCTTTGTCTTACAAGTTATTAACAGGGAACTGGCTCTTCCAGTGGAGTCCACAACATGTGGTTGGACGCTGACACCATCGCCTGCCTTCTATACTGTTCTATAGCTATGTTCAGGTCCCACCACGGAGATTCATTTTTCTTGCTTAGATATACAATTTCTATTTTTCATATTCTTAAGACTCAGGGTAGCCTCATTGGTTCCTGCTTTCATAGTGCCTCAGGTAAAGATCATTTGATTTCATTTTTAGTCTTTCCAACATTATCAAAGTTTTATTCAGATCTAAACGACACAACACTGTTTTTAGTTTATCATTGGTCTGACAATAAAAAGAGAAGTGTTTAGTTTTGACTTGGAATTGCAGACACATTAATGTCCTTTGTAGACTGCTGTGTACTCTACTTGTTTAGATTGCAGAGGGTCACATACTGCAGCCAGCATTCCCAGATCACATCGGCAATAATTTTACTTTTTGTTTTCTGTGTGTGTCCATCTTTCTTGCGTTTACCCTCTTATCTTCTCTTTCTTGTTTCTTTTTCAAAATTTATTTATATAATGGGGTTCTCTCTCTCTCTCTCTCTCTCTCTCTCTCTCAAGATTTAACTATTTGAAGGCAAAGTTATATGTAGAGAGAAACAGAGAGCTAACTTCCATCTGCTGATTCATACCTTCTCCCCTCCAAATGGCAGCAATGGCACAGGCTGAACCAGGCTGAGGCCAGGAGCCATGCACTCCATCTGGGCCTCCTATGTGAGCAGCAGGGGCTCAAGCAGTTGGGCCATCTTTCAAAGCTTTCCCAGGCTTACTAGCAGGTAGCTGGATCTGAAATGAAGCCACTGGGACTCCAATGGGCACTTATATGGGATGCCAGCAGCACGTGCAGTGGCTTAACCTGCTGTGTCACATTGCCAGCCACCAGGCTGTCTCCTCTATTTCCATTCTCTTTATTCCATCTCGATTATAAAGTGATTTTGCCTTTCAAAACACTATTAAAGAATTAAAATCAGGTCAGCTTAATGGATATTTTCTTCTTTTTTTTAAAGAAAACTTTTATTTAATAAATATAAATTTCAAAAGTACAACTTTTGGATTATAGCGGTCCCCCACCCCCATAACCACCCTTCCACCTGCAAACCATCCCATCTCCTACTCCCTCTCCCATCCCATTCTTCATCAAGATTCATTTTCAATTATTTTTATATACAGAATATCAACAGTATATACTAAGTAAAGATTTCAACAGTTTGCACCCACACAGAAACACAAAGTATAAAGTACTGTTTGAATACTAGTTTTACCGTTAAGTCTCATAGTACAACACATTAAGGATAGAGATCCTACATGGGGAGCAAGTGCACAGTGACTCCTGTTGTTGATTTAACAATTGACACTCTTATTTACGGTGTCAGTAATCACCCGAGGCTCTTGTCACGAGTTGCCAAGGCTATAGAAGCCTCTTGAATTCACCAACTTTGATCTTGTTTAGACAAGGTCATAGTCAAAGTGGAGGTTCTCTCCTCCCTTCAGAGAAAGGTACCTCCTTCTTTGATGGCCCGTTCTTCCCACTAACTCACAGAGTTCTTCCATTTAGGTCATTCTTTGCCAGAGTGTCTTGGCTTTCCATGCCTGAGATACTCAATTGATATTTTCTTTTCTTCCTAACAATATCCTGAGTTTCACGTTTGATAAGACTTTGAAATATAGCAAAATCCAATGTCTGGGTTTTTTCTTTCTTATTTTCTGGTACCCTCCCTAACTGGTCCATGGAGGGAAAACAGCCTATGTAGTGGTTAAGTGCAAGGACTCCTGTTTTGTTTGTTTTGTTTGTTGTAATCCTGCCTTGTATCCCGGCCAAGTCATTTGACAGCTATTCACTGTGGGAAGGATAACAACCTTCTAAGATGCAGTATTCTCTACTTGCACTGCTGGGTGAGTTGAGCAACTTTCTGTGCTCTCCAGCGCTCACACCTTTGCCTAGCACAGAGCAGGCGCCACCTGCTGGGAACTCCATGTGAGACTGGCGTTAAATGGGATTCTCATTTAACCTTCCTGACTGATCCAGCTCCTCTTCCCGCAGGCAAAAGCTTTGCCGTCTTATTTATTTGTTTATCCACTCATTCATTTTTTTTCTTGGAGACTCATAGTGAACTTATTTTCATATGATTAGATTTTCAATTTTTTCTGTTTTTTTTTTCAGTTAAAAATGGAACAAGACAATGATTTTTAAAGTGAAAGAATCAGTTTTTCTTATGAATTTAGATGTTCCTTCGTGTTTACAGTTTTTCAAAAATGATATGTTGCTTTTATTATGGAAATTTTTAGAGAAAAAAGTAAACTAAAAATACAAATAGTTGTTGCATTGAAACTTCATTCTTGAATATTGGTGACTCTCACCATTCTCATTTTTTTAATTGAGCATACAAGTGATTCTTTTCTTATATGTGAATGAATTTTGCTAATTTTGTAAAGTAGCATATAATACTTTTTATGGATAAAATTTATATTTTAATACTATTGACTCATTTCACTTTGTTAATTTTTATTGTTCTAAAAGCAATTAAAATCAGACCTACCCCCTCAATGTATTTTAAGTATATAATGAAGAATTATTTACCCAGTAATCTGACCATGAATATTTGGATTATTTTCATATTTTGGCCATTGAATAATGCTATAATGAACATGAAGGTGCATACATGTCATTGGGGATCTTAATTTCAATTATTTTGGATAAATACACAGAAGTAGGATTTGGAGATAATATGTTACCACTTATTTTTTTTTTAAAGATTCATTCATTTATTTGAAAGTCAGAGTTACACAGAGAGAGGAGAGAGAGAGAGAGAGAAAGAGATGTCTTCCGTCCGATGGCTCATTCCCCAATTGGCCGCAACTGCTGGAGCTGTGCCGGTCCAAAGCCAGGAGCCAGGAGTTTCCTTCAGGTCTCCTACGCGGGTGCAAGGGCCCAAGGACTTGGGCCATCTTCTACTGCTTTCCCAGGCCACAGTAGCAAGCTGGATTGGAAATGGAGCAGCCGGGTCTCGAACCAGTGCCCATATGGGATGCTGGCGCTTCAGGCCAGGGCGTTAACCCGCTGCGCCACAGCACTGGCCCCAACACATTTTTTAGTTTTGGAGGAAATTCCATTGCACTTGGCTACATCATTATACATCCCCACAAACTGTGCATAAGCCTTACCAACATATGTCTTTTGCTCTTTTGATAGTAAACACCTTAAAAATTGTATGATCGCATTTCATTGTGGTTCTAGAGGACATTGTTCTAGGTGAAATAGGACAGCCACGAGAAGACAAAGTACTCCATAATTCCATCTAAATGAGGAATTTTTTTTTGGCAGGCAGAGTGGACAGTGACAGAGAGACAGAGAGAAAATTCTTCCTTTGCCGTTGGTTCACCCTCCAATGGCCGCCGCGGCCTGAGCGCTGCGGCTGGCGCACCGTGCTGATCCAATGGCAGGAGCCAGGTGCTTCTCCTGGTCTCCCATGGGGTGCAGGGCCCAAGCACTTGGGCCATCCTCCACTGCACTCCCTGGCCACAGCAGAGAACTGGCCTGGAAGATGGGCAACCGGGACAGAATCCGGCGCCCCGACCGGGACTAGAACCTGGTGTGCCAGCGCTGCAAGGCGGAGGATTAGCCTAGTGAGCCACGGCACCGGCCCAGTGAGGAATTTTTAATAGTAAAACTCATAGAATCAGATAATAGAATTGTTGCTTCCTGGGACTAAGGAAAGGAGGATTTGGGAGAATTGTTGCTCAGTGGGTAGAGTGTTTTAGTTATACAAGTTGAGTAAGTTCTTGAAATCTGTTGTACAACATCATCCATACAGTTAACAGTATATTATTGTATTTTTAAAGATATATTAAGAGGAGAGATTTCATAGTGAGTGTTCTTATCAGAAAATCAACCAACCAACCAATCAAGCAAACCTACATAGGAAAAATCCCAAGGAAATTTTTGGAGGTGATGGGTATGTTTAATTTCTGGATTATAGCACCACAGGAATAAGTACATCTTCAAACTCATCAAAATTTGTACTTTAAATGTGTATTTTTCAATTTAAGAAAGTATTTGCTGATGAATTTGAGAGGCAGAGAGAAAGGTGATGGATGGATAGACAGATAAGTAGATAGATGGATAGATAGAAACTCTCATCCACTGCTTTACTCCTTAATTGCCTGCAACAGCCAGTACCGAAGTTGGGGTCTATAAACTCAATCCAGATCTCCCATGTAGGTGACAGTAACCAAATTACTTAAGCCTTCACCTCTGCCAATCAGGGTCTGTTTAGCAAAAAGTTGGAATCTGGATCTGGAACTGGAAATTGAATCCAAGCACTCTGACATGGCACATAGGTGTCCTGACTAGCATCGCAACTGCTAGGCCAAATAGATGTCCCAGGGTACAATTTTAAGGTCAGTCTCTCTATCTCTCTCCTGTCTGTCACTTTGCTTTTTGAATAATAAATAAATGAATCTTTAAAAATACCAATTACACTTCAATAAAGCATACAAATATAGTCAAGTCATGTTGATATAAATATAATGTACTTATTTGTCTTCCTAATACAAATGTATTTTCTGCTTGTGTATTAATCAGTCTTTCCTGAGAAATTTGATGACAACACCATCATACTTTGCATCCATCCATCCTAGCGAAAAGCCAGATGCATAGCATGTGCCCAGCACATACTAATTAAGCTGTGAATTCCATACAAGATCTGGTCCTACGGACACCAGCAACTCCCTGTGTTTCCACACTGGATATTTGAAGCTTGTTTATATTGTTATACACTCATCCAGATTTCTTTATGACTAAACCTCCTTTGATTAGACACTGAGTATTTGCAAGAGAGAGTAATACAAAAATAAATGGTCTAATCATCATTATTAGCATTATCAAATTATCATTATCTCTATCAACACTTATATACTAGAGTCAATTTTAGCACAGAATTAGCATGAGAACTGGTGCATGACCACTGTCCATTCATGATGCCTGCAGTCCAGAGGGTTATTTGTGGCTAAGATGCTATTGTAGATAACTTCTGTGTTTTTTCAGTATTTACCTTTTCTAAATTACCCTTCTGATGTAAGCTCTATAACATGTCTGTGATTTTGAAATTGTTTTATACACTCATAGGATGGCCTGTTTCTGGTGAACCAGTTTCTTATTCAACAAAAGAAAGCATATTTTAGATAGAACAAAGCAAAACAATATAGGAATTCACAGTAACTTCTTCCTAGGGATCAACTTTAAAAAAATTTCAAAAAAAACCTTGAAAATTTGAGACATAGATACCATGTCAGACAAATCAAAGCTATGTAAATGCATTTTTAATAATATGTCTCAATCATAGAGGGATGGGAATTTCATTTCTATTTCCTCAGCTAGTTCTTTCCCTGTGCTGAGAACTACAGTTAAGCAGTAGGAAACATATTAAACACAACCTGAGACTGTTTTATTTCCTTTTATTATCAACAGGTCTGAGCTACTTTGCATCAGGTTTAAGATTAGATTTTTGTCAAACATGGTATCTACTTCATTTACTTCTTGCCATGCGTTTATAATACAGAAAGCAACTTTCCAGCTGGGTATTGCATCTTATGTAATATTTAATTTGTCACTGAGTTTTCACCATGTAAAGTGGAATGAACAATTGATTAGCAAAGGACTTGCTTTGGGATGTAAATAATATGTCAACTATATATGACATATATAGTATATGACATTACCTTTGCTGCATAAGAAATGCTTCTTATTATTTTAGATAAATTACATGAAGCAGATGTGACATGCTGGAGTGTCCTTTCATGGGTTATTTAATTTCCATTTCTGATTCCAGTCATACTCTTTCCTTTTTATGATCACAGGGGGAACCAATCACAATGTTTTGTACATTCCAAATATATTCCTTAGACTATTCCTTAAAATATTCCCAAATAATATTTGTGGATTTTAAAAAAATCCTCATGCAACTCTTATTTTTAAGTATTTTATGTACTTTTGTAAACAGGCAACAAGATAACTTGTACGTGGATGAAGAAACTAGAAATGTGACACTTGCGGGAAAAACAGATTTTGCTCGGGATTTCAGCAACTTTGCAGTGGATATTCAAAAGACCATCACAGTGCTCAGAGACCAGGTTTGCTTTCTTCCAAAGTAACATGTTCCCATTGTGTAACTGTAATAACCAAACTTGAAAAAAATCATCTGTCCAGTGACTCCCCAAACTTACAACACAAAACCAGAATAATAACCACACACAGAGGATACATCATAAAGTTCATGGAAAATGGAATTGAAAAAAAGGTTTATTTTAGTGCAAAACAAATTTGAAATTCATGCACAATTTTTCTGTTTTTTTTTTTGTTTTTTGTTTTTTTTTTTTAAGATTTATTTATCTTGTTTGAAAGGCAGAATTACAGAGCAGCAGAGAGAGGGAGAGAGAGAGAGGTCTTCCATCCTCTGGTTCACTCCCCAAATGGCCGCAACGAGGGGAGCTGCACCAAACTGATGGCAGGAGCCAGGAGATTTTTCCAGGTCTCCCATGCAGGTGCAGGGGCCCAAAGACTTGGGCCATCTTCCACTGTTTTCCCAGGACATACCAGAGACCTGGATTGGAAGTGGAACAGCCAGGGCTCCAACTGGCGCCCATATGGGATGCCGGCACTGCAGACAGCGGCTTTACCTGCTATACCACAGCACCACCCCACATTTTTTTCATAATTTGTTTTCCATGAATTTTTTAAAGCCTTCTCTCATATGCATGGTTAATTTTTTATCAATAGAAACTTCTGTTTTAAAGTTTTATTTATTTATTTATATATTTGAGAAAGAAAGACAGCTTCCATTCATTAACTTACTCCTCAAATAGCTTCAACAACTGGAAGTGGATGAGGGCTGAAGTCAGGAGCTGAAAACATAATCCAGGTCTTCCACAGGGATGGAAGGAATATAATCACTTGAACCACTATTGCTCTTCACAGGGTTTTAATTAGCAGGAAGACAGAGTCAGCAGCTGGAAGCGGGCATTGAACCCAGGCACTCTGATGTGGATCCTGGGTTTTTAACTAAAATCTTAACCACTAGGCCAAGTGTGCATCACCCAAATTTATAATTTTTAAAGATTTATTTTATTTATTTGAGAGAAAAAGAGAGAAATCTTCCATCCACTCGTTTGTTCTCCAAATGGCTGCAACAGCCAGGGTTGGGCCAGGCCAAAACCATAGACCTGGAACTCCATCCAGGTCTGCCATATAGGAGGCAAGGTCTCGAGCACCTGGGCCACTTTCCCCTGCCTTCTAATGTGCATTTGCAAGGATCTGGACTGGAAGCAGAGAAACTGGGACTCGAAGCAGAGCTCATATGTGATGCCAATGTTGCAGATGGCAGGTTAACCTACTGCACTACAATGTTGGCCACCCAAACTTATATTTTCATTTTATTTTTCTATGAATTTTTTCAGGTCCCCTCAATTCAAAAGCTCTCATTATAGGAAGGTTAAATTAGTGGAAGGATAGTTTGGGGAACTCACATCACAATGATGCTAACAAGCACATCTTTTCGCTTGATGTCAGTCTCCAATGCTCATAAGCTGGGGTGGCCAGAGACGCTCTTCTTGGAGTTGCTCACCTGCACCTGCACATGTCTGAACACTTGTGAGTTTGATGCTCTTCCCATCTCTGCAAGCTGGAGATACTTTTCAACAAATGCAGTATATACTTCTGCTCTTAATTTTTCTTGGGATGAAGTCAAAGAAGCTTCTTAGAAATTACTGTTTTCTCTGGCTTTCCTTTTCTGATAAAGTTATTCTTCACAACAAAATTCCCACACTCTTCTTCACACTTCCCTATGCTCCTAGTTGCTTTGGTTCCTACCTTATTTTTCCCTAATATTTGGAAATGAATCAATAAGAGGTAGTTGACTTGTCTTAGAAATGTCAACGTGAAGGTTTTTATTCAGAAACGGAAGTCTGATTTCTTTCAAGGCATAGTGCCAAGCTGTCTTCATGGAAATTCATGTCACTTTTCCCCCATACCATCAAAAAGAAAAAGCACTGCAGGAGTCTGGGGCTAGCCCAGCATCTGCTGTCAGGAAGCTCTGCCCTCACTAGTTGTCTGACCTGCACCACTTATTTAATCATTCAGAGCAATGTCCTCTTCCGATGTTCAGAGCTCCTTTGAAGATCAAATAAGATTATAAAGCAGGGGCACTTTGTGAACCTAACCCTCTTAAATTGCTCCTTCCCCCTTTGGATGTGAGCACATGTCCTCCTATGCAGAGATGTGCAATCACCTGCTGTGTTCGTGCCACCGAGGGGCTTGTACCACAGGGCCAGCTGGCTGCCGCTGCCGTGGTCTGCATCCTACACAGTGCCTTTCCATAGGCCAGAATTCCCATCACTGCAATTACTTGTGGATCTGAATCTCACCATAACTCTGCAAGATGAGACATTGCTTCAAAAAGCAGGACACTCTTAAAATATCATAGTGGGGGTGTGACCTAAGAGAGACCTAAGACTCTGGGACCAATGAATCTAGAAATCTTATTTCATTAGCTGTGAATTAACAGTGTGTTAGAGAAGGGAGATGTACGAATGACAGGAGGAGTATTAAGCACTGGGCTAGAGAAGATGAGCCCCAGAAATTTAAATGTTGACTCACCCATCATGCTGGAAACTCTTCTTTTTTTAATCTAAAAAATCATTTATATAAGGTGAACAAATTTGATATATGTCAGATATACAGATTTAGGAGCACAGTGATACTTCCCACCCTCCCCTCCCTCTTGCCTTGTCTCCCATCCCATCTCTTCCTTTCTTTCTTATTTTTTCTTTTGCTTTTTTAAATGACATACATTTAGTTTGTTTTATGATCATAAGCTCAACCATCTATTAAATAAAGAGCTCAACAAAAATACGAAGTAGAAAAACCACTGTTCCTCTAGTGTAGAGGTAAGTACTACATATAATAATCAAATCTCAAAATGTCAATTTCACTCATATACATTAATATTTTTTGTACTCTGTATGTTTGTTACCACAAACCAGGGAAAACATATGATATTTGTGTTTTAGGACTGGCTATTTCACTAAGCAAAATGGTTTCCAGTAGCATCCATTCTGTTGTGAAAGACAGAATTTTATAATTTTTATGGCTGAGTAGTATTCCATAGTGTTTAAATACCACATTTTCCTTAGGCAGTCATCAGTTGATGTACATCTGTGTTGATTCCATATCTTTTCTATTGTTAATTGAGCTACAATAAACATGGGGGTACAGATAGCTCTTTAATATGCTGCTTTCCTTTCATTTGAGTAAATTCCCAGGTCACATGGTAGCTCTATTTTAAGATTTGGAAGAATCCCCATACTGTCATCCAAAATGGTTGTATTAGTATACATTCCAACTAATAGTGCATTAAGGTACCTTTTCTCCCACAATCTCATCAGAATTTATCATTTTTGATTTTTTATTAATAGTGTTTCTGACTGGTGTGAGGTAAAACCTCACTGTGGTTTTTATTTGCATTTCTCTGATGGCTAGTGATCCTGAGCATTTTTCATGTGTCTGCAGGCCATTTGAATTTCTACTTTTGAAAAACACCTGTACAAGTCCTTTGCCCACTTCTTAATTGGATTGTTTGGTTGTTGTTGAGTTTCTTGGGCTTTTTATAGATTCTGGATATCGATCCTTGATCAGTTGCATGGTTTGCAAATATTTTCCCCCATTGTGTTGGTTGCCTCTTCGCTTTGTTGAGTGCTTCCTTTGCAGTACAGAAGCTTCAATTGCCTACTTTTGCTTTAATTGCCTGTGCTTCTGGGGTCTTTTACAAGAAGTCATTGCCTATGCCAACTTCTTGCAGAATTTTCCCAATATTCTCCTATTAGCAATCTGATAGTATCAGGTCATAGAGTTAGTTCCTTGATCCATTTTGAGTGGATTTTTGGAAAAGGTGTAAAGAAGGGGCCATGTTTCATACTGCCATATATAATACTACCATATATAAAGATCCAGTTTTCCCAGCATTATTCATTGAAGAGATTTTCCTTTCTCCAGCAATTGATTTTAGCTAGTTTGTCAAAGATTATGTGGTTATAGAAGCATGAATTGATTTCTGGGCTTTCTATGCTGTTCTATTGGTCTATATGTCTGTTTTTTTGCCAGTACCAAGCTGTTTTGATTATAACTACATTGTAGTATGTCTTGAAATCTGATATGGTGATTCTTCTATCTTTATTTTTGTTTTTTTATGATTGTTTTAGGTATTCAGGGTCTCTTGTTTTTCCATTTGAGTTTTAGGATCAGTTTTTCTAGATCTGAAAATAATGCCATTGATATTTTGATTGGAGTCTCATTGAACTTGTAAATTGCTACCATACTACCATACTACCATATGGACATTTTGATGATATTGATTCTTGCAATCCATGAACATGGAAGATTTTTCCTTTTTTTGTGTTTTCTATTTCTTTCTTTAATGTTTTGTAATTTTCATTGTATAATTCTTTCACAATCTTGGTTAAATTTATTTCAAGGTTTTACATTTTTTGTAGCTATTATGAATAGTATTGATCCTATAAAATCTTTCTCATAGAAAGACTTTGGGGAGATTTCCTCGCTTTCAATTGTTTTGAATATTTTGAGGTGAATTGGAATTAGTTCTTCTTTAAAAAAATTTGGTAGAATTAAGCAGTTAAACCATCTGGTCCTGGATTTTTCTTTCTTTGGAGCTTATTTACTAATGATTCAATCTCTGTTCTTGCTTATGGACCTATTTATGTTTTCTATGTATTCTGGACTCAATTTTGGTAGATTGTATGTATTCAAGAATCTATACACTTTTTTCAAGATTTTTCCAAATTGTTGTTTTTGTTGTCATATTGCTGTTTGTTGTGATTCTTTTTATTTCTGTGGTACCATTGGAACTTCCCCTTTTTCATTTCTGATTTCTTTTTTTTTTTTTTAAATTTGGGTCTTCTCCTCTTCTTCTTCCTTATTCTTTTGGTTAGTTGGGCCAATGATGTACCAATGTTGGTTATTTTTTCAAATGCCAGCTCTTCATATCACTAATTTTTGTATCTTTGTCTCAATTTTATTTATTTCATCTCTAATATTAATTATTTCTTTCCTCCTACTCGTT